AGCGTGCCCTGGATCCTAGTAAAAGGTTACTAATACATTATTTTTTTTATTATCCTTTTTTTATTTTTATTTTTTTAGAATGTCAAGTACAATTAGTGAAGGAATTAATAATGATGTTGTACTTTTACTTTCCACTTTCACCACTCTTTCAATCATTCAAATTTTTGGATAATACCAATAATAATTATCCCACTCTGTTAAATTTACCAATAATCATTCATAATAATACCAATAATAATAATAATAATCCATTAAACTTCAACTTCAAAACATTAGAACTAAATCTGAGATAGGTGAGAGTACTTTATAAGAAATAATGAATTTCGGAAATGCCTGTATTTGTATTTACATATAATGGAATTGGAAAAACTTTGACTGGAACTTTAAAAAATCACAACAGAATCAGACATCCCAATGATAAAAATAAGTTAACCAACTTAAATTTTGATGAAACTTGTAAAGAAAATTTTGTGTGCCATATTAAGTGTTGTAACCCTCAAGTGTTCATATGTTTGTATAAAAAATGGTTGCATGCTCAGATTTACCTAATTTGGGTTGTCCTTACTTAAAAAGAAATGATAAACAGTTATGACAATCATCAAATCATACAGCCCTGTCGTAACTACGAGTTGTGTTCTGTCTACAATATGTCTGCCTGCGCCCTTAGTCACAAGAATATTATTAAAAGTCAAATAATTTACAAATAAACGACAACATAGATAGCAAGTTCGTGATGAGACAATCACTAAAGTACATAATTTTATGAAGAAGGTTCGTAATTCTATTAGGGTTTTTAAATAGATAGATATTTGATGTAGAGATCAAGGTGATCAGTTGGAATCTTCTTATTTGAAGCTAAATAATTTAAACACAAGCAAGTATATTGACAACTCAGTGCCCAAATATATTAATGATTGGTTTAATAAATGTAAGTGTTAATTATTAATATACTAATACGTTGTTGATCGTAACAAACTATTTAACAATAATTAATATTTGCATCAGGAAACATTATTACATTATCATCTAATTGTCCCATAATCGGAGAAACGCGCTTTGCACTCTGGACATGAATAAAAGCAACAGTATTACAACAGTGGCTAATTTAATACTTTATAAATTGGAACAATGTTTTGATGAAAAACTATTATTGCTGTATTAGATTCTTGTATAAAATGTTCAATTTTAATTTTTTTTTAATAAAATACAATCTTTTGAACTAATCAAAAGTCAAAAGTATTGAATCGGAATTTTAAAAAATAAATGAATTAGAAAAATTTGGTCACGTGAATGATATTAATATCAGTTTCACCTACAACTCCAACTAAACCAAATTAAAGCACTTTTTAAAATCCATTTTCAATACAACTTTTTATCAGTTACATCTGACATAAAAGCCTCTCAATAAAGTAGATGATCTATCTGTCCAACTTGCGAAAAAATAAAGTAACATTTTCATTGGTAATACATAATAAATTTGAAGTTAATTCGTGAGAATTATGATTCAAATATTCCTCCATAGAAAACTCCTATGACTTAATTTTGTCTATAAAATTAGAGGCATCCCGAAATCCAACTAAAGGCACAATATCTTTTAATATGTTCTTTAACTCTTCAAGATGATTTTATGCGTTTTCAATTAATTCATTGGAATTTATTTCATCACTCGTATCAGGACGTTGAAGAATTTCATCACTTTTAAGAAAAAGGAAAGTATTGATTTATGTATCAAAAAAAATATTTATTTATTATTATTTACGTTAAAAGAACTTCAAATATTTTTTAGAGATATTATTTTTTCTAATCCTAATAATAAAAATGATTCAAAAAATCGTAATGAACAAGAACTGAACTTTCAGAGATAAAAAAAAACTACTATTAGAATCGTAAAATAAATCGGTACATGTATTATATTTGCTGGCAAATAATTTTAATTCCTGAGGAATAGATTGATAATTTTAAAAGCCTAATCTAAAGCTCCGAACTGAAAGTTTGGATGAATCGGCTTTGAAACAATATGTTCAAATCGAAAACCGAGCTTTGTCTGATTTAGCATATATTAATATACGTATGAATGAATACATATTAAAATTGAGTGTATTAAACATTTGGATGCTATTTAGCAACACCTGAAATGAAATTCATTAAATACATTATTTTAGCACTCCCATCTCATCATGTTCTAGAAAATAGTCATTGAAAAAGCTCGATTAGTTTCCAAGTTAGTTGCATTTTCAAGAATTATCGATTAGCATATATACTCTCATATACTATTTTAAGACCGAAGGTGTTATAACATACATTTAACATAATAATATAATAACACTATTACTATTCTTAAAAAAATCTTTGAGATGGGTGTCAATGAAAACAATACCTTCAACCTTCCTAAAATAAGCTATCTTCGTTTGAAATAACTTTACATTGTTTGTTTAATACATGGAGGTTGTTTACTTTTTAAAGATGGGGTATTGATGAATTTTACAGTGTTACATATGCAATGTCCATTCATTGACTGTTAAATTTTACTTTATTATTATTATGATAATTCAAAAAAAAAAATTTAAAAAACAAAGAATAATGATCATGATAATGACAATGACAATAATAATAATAATAATAATAATAATAATAATAATAATATATTAATATGAATAAATGTGAATAAATATGTGTGTCTCTTTAGATTGCAAGAGAACCCATTGGATCCCAAGCAGGCAACACGATGGGTTTTTTACTCAAAATATCAACCAATTCTTTAGTAGCATCTAACTTTTCCAAGACAATTTGATAAACCCATTCACTAAACCAATCATCTGACATGACAAAATAACCTTTATCGCCTCTTTCACTGCCCCATGAATTTTCTACTCTCCATCTCACTGGTTTGTTGTTTTCTAAATGAACCCCTGTATTATGTATATGATCATAATTTGATTAATTAAAATGCAACATAATATATATATATATATCTTATGTACATTTATAAATTATACGTACCGGTGAATACCATAGCGTGTGTCATAGCACTTTGACCATATTTTAATCTGTCACCTTTGCTCATTTCAAACTTTACATCAAATCCCAATTCATAATCAATTATATTGTTATCCAAAATACCCAATGTACTATTACTAAATTTACCAACATCTGAACCAAACCAAACAGGTTTTCCTTTTTTCAAAGTTTTTATTGTTAAACTTTTCATTAAATCAACTGGGATATTAACATATTTAATTGATGATCCTGATTGAATATTACCCAAATAGTCGATTGTGTAAAGTTCATAATATGCATTACGTGGGTCATTTATTAACGAAAATGATTCTGTTGCCTAGGAAAACAAAACCGCATTGCGTGTGAGCGAATGTTAATGAATATTTATATGATTAGATAGCAACCAAATTTTTTACTCTGATAAATTTTTTTTATGATCTTTATAATTTACCTTATATCCAATAAATTCTTTGTAAAATTTCTGAGGTGTCAAATTTTTATATTCATAAAATTTACCATATTTATCATGAAAAGACCAGGTAAACTCTTTGGGAGGTTCACCGAGTGAGATGGCCATAATTCTGTAAATTTCTTCCATCATACCAATTTTTGCTTTTCTTAATTGCACCTCAGAGTTACCAGCTTCATGCAATCCGCGTAATTTATATGCAAATTCTCTTAATTTAGTTGTAACTATCCAATTTAAATGTGAAGATGATGATGAACTAAAACTTTCTGGAAAAACCTAATAATATACATAACATATATGAAAGAGAAAGAGAGATATTAATATTAACAATTAAAATTACTACCACTATAATTAGTAGTAGTATTATTATTATTATTATTATTATTATTAACTTACAGATTTTGGCACAACACCGTATTTTTCCAAAAGATTAATAATCATATCCCATTGTCCACCATCACTAACAGGGTCTTGAATCAGATACTGAACTAATCTCGAATCAACATCTTCACCTGCAAGGGAGATAATATTCTCAAGGAAATCTAAAAATATAAATTATCAAGTCATTACTAACACACAAATATACTGGAAGAAAGTATACTTGTAACAAATATCACACTTACAATTAGCTTTTTCAAACTTGTCATAAAAAAATAAATATGATTGTGACAGTTCAAACTCCTCCAATTTATATCTGGAATATAAATATTAAAAATATATTATTATTAAACATATTATTATGATTAGGGGAGATTTTTCTAGAAACCTACTTCTTCATAAGAATTAAGCGCAAAACATTGGTAGCAGCAAACAACCAGCAACGTCCCGAAGATTTTTGATTGGTGGCTTTACCTTCCAATTCAATTTTATCTGAAAAGGCATGAATATTATCAATTGTAGCCTGAATTTAAAAAAAAGTTATTTATGATATATTTAATTAAATAAAGATAAAAACATATAGTCTAGAAATCTCGTAAGTTTTATCATTACTTTTCGATTTGTCAAAACTTCAACCATATCGTCACGAGAAATAGAATTCATGGCCAATTTATTCTTCGGTTCAGCTAGAAACTTATTACTAAAAATTCATTATAAATTTTTTTTCAATAAATTATTCGATTTCACATTTTATTACATGTTGTTTTATATAAAACTTACGAAAATTTATCAAGGAGATCTTTATCGATTGAAGGTTTAGAACTTTCACCTTCATATTCTTTATTATCATTATCCAAATAATTTCTTTCAATAAATTTATTATTTTTTTCTTCGATCTCTTGAATACAACGGAGCTTGTTGGCAGCGGTGGTTGATTGTGCTTGTCCCATTTTGTTTAAAATTTTTATAAAAAATAAAAAGTTCGGAATTTTTCATCCTGTACTTTATTATTATTATTATTATTTATATATTAATATATAAATATAAATATTTACTTTTATTTTAAACCCCCTCCATCTCTTTCAAAACAGGAAAGATCTTCAATATTTATTATACAATCAATTTCTCAATAAAATAAATTGATGGGCTATCTGATATGTCTGATGAAATTAAAGTAGCATTGTCAAAATTTGTAGAACTTGATAGACCAAAACGTAAAAATTAGTAAGTTTGTATATTTTATATAATTATTATATCATAAATAAATAAATAAATAAAATATAATTTATATATAGTTTACAGTGTTTAATAGAAGAATGTAGTTCATATGATATATTTGTTTTACAGCAAGCACTATTTGACAAAGGATATGGAGGATTTGATCTTATTGGAGCTTTACCGATTGAAATATCCATAAAAATTTTTGAGCAACTCACAGCAAAGGATCTATGTGCATGTGGTGAAGTTAGTAAAAAATGGAGGAGTGTCACACAGGATTCGAGTATATGGAAAAAGAAATGTCTAGAGATGTATTATGGAGATGAGCGACGATTGTACGTTAGCAAGGGAAAATTGCTGGAGAAATATGGTTGGGGAAAAGTTTATCAACAGTTATATAGAATTGAAAATAATTTGAGGAATGGACGTGCCAAATCATTTAGATTGTTAAAGGGACACAGAGAACGTATCAACGATGCTAAATTAAAAGAAAATATTTTGGTTACAGGGTCAGCTGATAGAACCGTTAGAATTTGGAATGTTGAGGCAGGTGAATGTGTTAATGCTTTGTCAGGAAATTCATTTAGTTCGGTTGATTTCTTGCTAGATGAGAAAATCTTGGCAGCTTCTACATTCTTCAGGTTATTTGTTTTTATTTATTTTATTATTTTGTGAATTACATAATCGTCCAATCTCTCTCTCTTACAAAAACTCTCGTAGCAGATCCTCATTCGTATGGAATATGGAGACAGGGGAATTATTAAGGGAATTAAGAGGACATGTTACAGCGGTTAGGTGTATAAGTATATCAAAAAATTATGTTGCATCTTGTGCATTTGATGGTAGTTTAATAGTGTGGAATTGGCGAACTGGTGACAAGATTATAACCATACCAGCTGATGTATGTATATATGAGAGTGTGGGTGTATAAATGCATATATGAATATTTATATTTACATATTTGTATATATTTATAGGCAATGTCAGTGATGATAATGGATGATAATATGATATTATGTTTAACTAGCATCAATATCAAGATGTTTAAGCTTCCAGATGGGAATTGTGTCTATTCTATGTTGTTTGAGGATGGGTTTCTAGGTTGGACATATATTCTAAATAATATTTATATGAAAAATATACAACCAAAAGATTTCGAAACATTTACATCCAATTACAATAACAATAATTATAGTAGTAGTAGTAATTATAGTAATGGTCGTGGTGGTGGTGGTGATGTTAGCGGTATTAGGAATTGTAGCGAGAATGGTGGTGGTAGTAGTAGTAATAGTGACGACAATAACAATAACAATGATACTAATGCCATCACCGATAACAATACAATATATTTATTAAGAAATTTGTCAAAGATAGCAAGAGTATTTGATTTTAATTCACGTAAAGGATTAATGGTGTGCGAGTATAGTAGAACAACATCGGCCAGTTCCTTGGGAATATTTTTATTGGACACAACAAAACCATCAACATCATCACCATTAACACCATTTTCATTAACATTACAATCAAAATCAAAATCAATCGAGTATCCTAAATCGCAAGATACAATTGATATAGACAAAGAAATTGTTAGAACACTAAACATTGATGATCATCAAGTAATAATTGGTTATTTAAGCGGTAAAATTGGTATTTTGGGATTTGACGATTACAATTACGACCATTAATGGTTCATTTACAGTGTAATCTATGTATTAATATTTATGTGCTATAAGTAAAAATTATAAATTAATTGATGTATTAATAGTTTTCGCAGACTTTGGAAACAGCAATTGAAACTTTAATTATTTAAATTGGGACTTTATTTAGAATATCAGAATATAAAAATTAGCTAAAAGATATATTTAATATTATGAAAAATCTCGATATATCAATTTCAGCACTGGCCAGGTTCCACTTAATTGAATTATCTCATCGGTGAAGATTAATTCCCCACATTACCTTGAACATTTCATCAAATAGATTCTTAGTTCGAGAGGATGAACAGACAAATTACAAATAACATGGGGGCTTTCCAATAGAAAAGGACCATAATGTGAAAAAAGCAGTTTTGAGCTAACGCTATCACTATATACTATCATAATATTTTTAGATTAGAAACCATAAATTCCTTTAGATTATGGTCTTTTTTTGTTGAAAAACCCTCATGCAATAATGTGACAGTCAAAATAAATACAATTGTGGAGAATATTAATATCATGCCTCCACACATAATTAATTACATAATTTTTAATCTGTGTGTAACGATGAGACTATTTTTTAAAAAGAAAAATTTTTTTTCAATATCAATTATTATTATTTTCTTTTCCCCTAAGAAAAATTAAAAAGGTGAGAGATTTTTATATTTATTTTTTTTAAAAAATATAAATGATGAGATTTATAGAGTCAAGCACTGATTAAATTTAATTGACGATAAAAATTTAAATAATTGTCTGATACATAAATTAATTGATTGATATGTTTTTTTTTAAAAAATAATATATTAATTATCTTATTTATTAATATTATTTTTAATAGGTAGTGAGTGAGTGAGTGAATGGTAATTTCGAATCCGAATCAATTCATATTTTAAAAAAAGAATTCCTTTTATATAATGAAATTGAGTACTAGTATAACTGCTTTATAATAACATTTTTGTTCAAGAATAAATTCTTTTCAACCATGATTTTTAATAGTAACATATAAATATATAATAAATAAACAAAGAAGAATGTCCAAATTATAATCTTATTAAAGGGGATTGATTATCCATATTTGTAATTTATTCATACGAGAATTCCTTAAAGTTTTCTTGGTAAACTTGATGTATTTTTTTCCGATCAATTTGGTCGGAGATCATCGAATAAAACAGCTAAAAATGGACAAATTCATTCACTTTCATGAAATTTTTCGGGTGACAAAATATCGTAGTCACACATTAATCCTTTTTTTTTTTTTTTTTTAAGAAAGCTCCACTTATCCATATTTATATTTAACGTTTATATAAATAGTTGAATTAGATAAAATCTTTTTTTTAAAAAAAAAATTTTTAAAATTTAACGTCTTTTTTAAAGTTCTATTTACGACCAAACAACAATAATAAATGGCAACGATTACTGATTTCGCAGATGTTGATGGCTGGATTCAACATCTGATGCAATGTAAACAATTACAAGAAGCTGATGTAAAAAGACTATGTGATAAGGTATTTATTAACGAAAAATTTTTTTATTGTCACCAGTTTAATGAGGAGTCTGGCTGGAGTCTATTTATTTAATTAATGTTATTTAATAAGATATGTTGTGTTGTTTTTTGTTAATAAGAAAATAAACTGGAAATAATAATTACATGATAAAATAAATGCAATATTATGCTAAAGTTTTTAAATATTATATTTTAAACCATATTACTACTGGTAATAATATTATTGTTAAAATAATAATAATATTAACAACAATAAACAACAAACAACAACGACAAAACAACGACAATAATGATTTATTTTACAATTTACTGATACATATATACATATATAGGCCCGGGAAATCCTTATGGAAGAATCGAATGTTCAACCAGTCAGATGTCCAGTAACTGTTTGTGGCGATATCCATGGACAGTTTCATGATCTAATGGAGTTATTCCGTATTGGTGGAAATTCGCCGGATACCAATTATCTCTTTATGGGTGATTATGTAGACCGTGGCTATTATTCTGTTGAGACTGTCACTCTACTTGTTGCTCTAAAAGTCAGATATCGGGATCGTGTCACTATTTTACGAGGAAATCATGAATCGAGACAAATCACTCAAGTATATGGTTTCTATGATGAATGTTTAAGAAAATATGGTAATGCTAATGTATGGAAGTTCTTTACCGATCTATTTGATTATTTGCCTTTGACTGCACTGATCGATGAACAGGTTTGTAATGAATATTTATTAACGATTTATAAATTATAAATATAATATTTAATAACCTGTAATAATTAATAACTTATAATAATCAATTGTTATTATTATTATTAATTATGATAGATCTTTTGTCTTCATGGTGGTTTATCTCCATCTATTGATACTTTGGATCACATCAGATCTTTGGATAGAATTCAAGAAGTTCCTCACGAAGGTCCAATGTGTGATTTATTATGGTCTGATCCAGATGATCGTTGCGGTTGGGGAATTTCTCCCAGAGGTGCTGGCTATACTTTTGGACAAGATATATCAGAAGCATTTAATCATAACAATGGTTTAACATTAATTGCTAGAGCTCATCAATTGGTCATGGAGGTTAGTTACTATTATTAATATTAAATCATATGTGTTGTCATACTTCTATATAATTATAATTAATTAATTAATCATTATTATTATCAAACAAATTTAAATATATTAGGGATACAATTGGTCACAGGATAAAAATGTGGTCACAATTTTTAGTGCTCCAAATTATTGTTATCGTTGTGGTAATCAAGCTGCAATCATGGAAATAGATGAACATTTGAAATATACATTGTAAGTTTATTATTATTATTATTATTATATTATTATTATTATTATCATCATCAATCATCTTTGGAAAAATAAAATAAATTTATAAATTCTTTTCCTCAATTTTTAGTTTGCAATTTGATCCTGCACCAAGAAAAGGAGAACCACATATAACCCGTAGAACACCAGATTACTTTTTGTAAACTAGATATTAGATTATTATTATTATTATTACCACTGACACTATTACTAATATTACCACCATTATCACACCATCAATGATAATTCATTTTCTTTCATAATCATAAATTAATCATCTAAAATTAATTAATAACTTTTTAATCAATTAATTAAATATAATGTAAACATCGTTGATCGATTTTGGAAAACAAAAATTCTTTTATATATTTGTAATTTTTTTTGACATTTTATGTAAAAATTATTTAAAAATTTTTTTTTTTTTAAAAAAAACACTCCTGAACTTTTTGAATTTGATTTTAAACATTAACATTATTTAACATTACATAATAGATCAATACGCATTCTTCCAATAATAAAATTTTTATACATGGATGTCCACCAGCAAAAAAAGGTTTGAGACTATTAAGTTGTTCTGTGAACCAATTGGTTACACATGTTTTTGATATGCAAAGTAAATATCTCAGGTAAACGTGGTGTAAATTTTTCACCAACTATAGTCCTTATGATTATAGATGGGTGTCTAAAATATAAATTAATTTAGACATTTAGACAATCATGGTCTCAATTGTCTAAAATGCTGAAATTGAATTTTTTATTGGATAATTTACTGAACTTTGTGGATATTGTGTATATGCACGTGACTTTTAGTTGTATTTAAAGCAAATCATTACTACTTGTATTAATTTAGACATTTAGACATTTTTGTCTAAATACTATTTTGACTTTAGACAACCCCAAAAACAATTTAGACGCTCATCTATACTTATGATATAGACATTAATAGTAATTAATTCATCACCCGTAATTAATTTCATAATTACGTTTTTAAAGAGTGAAAGTGATAATTAATTACGTTAATTACAAATTACGTATTTACCGTAATTAGGTAATCCCATGTATATATGTAATCATGCAATAATTTTAATCTATATGACAGAGAACTGATTGGGCAAAAACCCATCCAGCCCCCTACCCAAAATTATAAATTGGGTAGTATCAGAGAAACAGAGAATTTAGGAAAATGATTATACAAAACGAACACTATTTTACAACTTTCCTCTTAACATCAGAACCCAAATGCAATTTCAGGGCACCAACCCTGCTCTGAATTGCAAACTCCTGAGCTTGAAACAAGCTTCAGATTCTCTTAATATTCCTCCAGAGTTGTGACTTGTTCACAGAGCCAGCCTTACCCTAGAGTAGGATTGCTGCAGGAAACTTTTTGGATAGCGTGCCAGCAGCCTTCTCTGGTGAGGGAAGATTAGTGAAAACATCCTTGACGATTGATGTAGTCTTGATAAATTCCAAAGCCACACATACCCTTGGAATTCTGTTGCATCATTGTGTCATTGATCAATCAGGTCAGATTAGCCTTGTGAACATGAGGAATGCGTGAGAATGACTACTTGCTAGCTTCCGATGATCATAAACATTGCATATTCGAATTTGTTTCTTTTTCAACAGTGAGTGTGCTGCCTTGACATCTTGTAATTATATATTATAATAATAATAATATTGATTATGAAAAGCAAAATACTAATTGTTTACCATCTTGATGAGAATATTATAATTATCCAGCAAGATCTGCTCCATGTTTTGATTTCAATACATTTACAAAATAACAAAAAGCAATTAAAAAAATTGTGTACTAATAAAACACATAGCTATATATACCAAACAACAATATTCACATTTCCTCATCTTGACATCTTGTAAAGAATGAATTGTTTTTCTTAAAAAAAAAATAATTCGCACGTCATAGAGATCAACAGGAAGTTTTAATAGTCACAACAACAGTATTATTGTTATTTATTATCATTTATTTGGGTCTGGGACACTTTACTGACAACACACGGGGTTACATTTAATCTCTACATAATCAAACAAACTAACAAAATGCTAAAATATCACGTCGCGTGTTGTTGGTAAAGTGTCTTGTTGGTAAAGTGGGTGTCGGTAAAGTGTCTGGGTCCGATTTATTTATTATATTATTATCAAAATTGTGATTGACAAGAATTACACTTTTTTTTTTTAATCTTACGCAATGTGATATGCTATATATACTGCATACACGACATGGAGTAAAGACTAGTGCCGTAATCCAAAAAAGGAAAAATTATGGTTGCAAAAGTGGTCGCAAAGGTAATTGCAACCACTTTTTATATGCCATAAATACAATTACTACCATCATCATAATTTACGGCACTAGTCTTTAACATGGGGAACTAATATTATTTACATTTTATCAGGAAAATAGTATATGTCAAATATGCCAAAGATAAAAACCGAATATCCAACAAAGTTTTCAGGAGAGGAGTTAAATGGAAAAGAGAAAAGGTTGTTCAGAGCTTCTGGAAGATATTTTGAAAATCAAAAACCAAAAAAATGGACAATCACTACATTTTTAGATTATATTAACAAAAGGCAGTCTCATAAATTTCCTTTAAACCTTAAGAAGGAAATGTTCATAATGTGGTTAGGAAAAAAGCTAGAAGATAAAATTATTAGCAGTAAATGATATATACGTCTGTTAAGTGAGACAAGGGTGAGAATATCTTCTATTTTTTTTATGATTCATGGTAATGATGATAAAAAAGGGTTGATATTATGGACATGCAAGATCAGGTTGATTTTGTTCATTATTAATATTGCTCAACACTTACTGTAATCTTGGATTTTGTGATAGTACAAAGGCATATTATCTCACTTGCAGGAAATTCTTCAGTTGGGTGAATCTTGTCAATTTCTCCACTAAGGGCTGCAGCTACCACTTGATCATTTAGATGCTTGCAAGCTACCTTTTGTCCTTTTTGGAAATCAAAATTGACAAACTTATGATTTTCCCTACTGAGATCTCAGATTTGCAATGGTATTATACCTATTGCTTCACAACAATCAATGAAGATATGGAGATAACATCAAACTGAACCATGATCTTAATAAAAATAGCCAATTTTTTATTTTATGGATTAGCATTAATCGTGCATATATATATAATTTTTATTTCTTATAGAAAATAATAGAAGATGTTCCTCCAACAGACAGGGTAAAAAATACAATATAAATTTCCCGGACTTTCCGGAAAACTTTAGAGAATTCTGATAAAATTTTTGTTCTTCCGGTAATTTAACCGGTCACACTTACCACAAAAAAAAATTTATTCATGACTTTAAATCAATATTTTAGAAAAACTGACGCAAATGAATCTTCTGATAGAAATGTTAATGAAATGTATGTTATAGATGCTTAAAATTTTTAATTGCTACAGTATTAACAATAACATTTTTTACAGAATTAATAATGAAATGTTACTTGAAGAAACAGAAGAAAACATCCAATATAATGAAGTACCATTATCTTCTTCAAACTGAATTCAAACGGTTTAAATATTAAATCATTTAAAGAAAATATCTATTTTTCATTAAAAAAATTTTCTTCAATAAAAAAAATCCGACATTTTTTAAAACTTTCTGACAAAAATTTTTGTAAACCGGAATATTTGCCTGAAGAATTTTGATCCTATTTTTTACCCTGCTAACAGATAGGGTTTGTATTCACGGATACTGTAAGGAGGTCATACAAGGTCACACACTATTAAAATCAAGTGTTTTTTTGCTGATTTATTAGTGTGTAACCCCCTTAACGGTATTCATGGTATCTGTGAATACAAACCCTACCAACAGACTCATTAATAAGAGTTGGAAAGCCAATTGACTATTATATAAAATTTGGTGGTATGTATTTGTGCTTTTTTAAATCATCAATAAATAATCTTATGATTTGTTTATTTATAGATTATGTTTATGAGGAATTACCAAACAAAATAAAAACTGCTATATACATGGAAATAATCAAAGATATTTCTGAATATGATGAGAATGGATACATTTATATATATAAAGATGTTTATTAATTTATTACTGTTATTTTTAATTTATTATTTATTTAAACTACATGTAATTTATCTACAGTTTCCAATATGAAAAATGAACCAGAAGAAAATTATTTCAAAATTGGTAGAACCAAAGATATCAGTGTCAGAATTACACAATGGGAAAAAAAATGCAACTATAAAGCAGACCTTGTAAAGATTTTTCCAGATGGAAAAATGTGTAAATACATGCATAGGGCTGAAAGACTCATTCATCTCGAGTTAAGTGGCTGTAAAATAAGCTTACCACAGTGTTCTACTTGCAAGGAAAAACACCAAGAGTAGTTCAAATCAAACAAGGATGATGTCTGCAAAATTGCTTTCAAATGGACTAGTTATATAGAAGAAGTGTATGGTCTTTAGTATTTTAAATGTAGTCTGGTGTAAATTTCTAAATAATAGTTTATTAGATAAAATTTTAATCATTCATTTGTTTGATTTTAATTGATCAATTACTATCACCATAAAAATAGGGTTTCATTGATTGAAATGTTTATTGTTTATATCTATCATTCATATGACCACAATAAAACATTAAGTTCTTTCTATTCTGACATCTTAGATAAAGTACTTACAATCTTATCAATCTTAACTGTTTAAGGATTTCATGTCAATAAACAATGATTTTTGCTTGAAGATATCCATGAAATTGAACCATTTTCTATACAGTTGTTTTGTTTTTTTTTCAAATTGATTATCATTTTAAAGCAATACACCATTATTATACAAACAATTTAAAATGATTTGTTGTTTCGAAGCAACACAGTTAAAAATAACTATTGATATTGCACTCAGTTCGCCTCTTCTCCAAACAACTTGTTTTGTTTTTTTCATGTTGATTATCATTTTAAAGTGACACACCATTATTATTATTATACAAATAATTTAAAATGATTTGTTTTTTTTTTTCGAATTGAGACATATGGAAGCAACACAATTAAAAATAACCATTGCTATCACTATGTTGCATTCAATTCTCCAAACAACTATTTGTTGATTTCTTTTTCAAATTTAAAAGGATTTATTTTTTCGAATTGAGACATGTGGAAGGAACACAATTAACAATAACTATTTCTTTTACTATTATTTTTACTGTGAAAATGATCAAGAGATATGGAAGTGAGATTGTTAACAATGATCCACCACTATAAAATGAATGATACATTCAATTCGCCTCTTTTCCAAACAATTTATTTTTGAATAAAAATGATTTATTTTTGAATAAAAATGATTTATTTTTTTCAAACTCATTTAAAGAAATGTAGAAACTATTATGGATACATTGTTCGTTTCAATACTATCTATCAAATTATAGAAATGTCATATTGACTATACCGAGGATGATGCATGTGTAATCTATAAAAAGTTTGCGTAATAAACTGGTTTCGCTAAACCGAACCGAACCGAACCGAACCGCCCCATTCCTATGGCTCACACACAATGTAAGTGTAATATATTTTTATGATATATAAAATTGAAAATACATATCTTATTTAATTATTAGTCCAACTAATTGAAAGCTCCTTTTTAGCTGGAGAAGCTGACAAAACCAGACGATATACAGGAGACTGTTGCAAGTGATGGTCCCCAAAAAAATAATGCATGAATGGCTTCGAGCTTAATACTGTCAATGATAGCAATGAAGCCATTAATTTAAAAAAAATCTCAATGGAGTATGTCACCACTGTAAGCATTACGCATTCAGAAAGACGGTCGTTTAATTCATATCATTTATCCATTGCTTGGTTCAACTAGTGATCGACTTTTCATCTTGTTTTATAGGGTCGAATCCTTTCTAAAACCATTACCAGGTATCAGTTCACCAAATACATCTGAACACCAATGTTGGGCAGAATTTGCACATTGCTTCTTTCGAAGGCATTACAATATTTTGTAAATTTAGATTGGAGGATATAAGTGTTGAGTTCAATAGAAAATTTTTAATATTACATTGTGTTGATCTTATTGAATTTTTTAGTCTGGAGATCCCAGTTCATGCTTCAAAATATCGAAAGAACTTTGGATAAATCACGCTCTTGAAAAAGTCGTTGACAGGAAGTAAGAGTTATATGTGGGCGAGCAAGCTGGTTCTCCAACCAATAATCCTGATGTTACAAAATGTGCTACCAACTGGTTTAAATTATATAAAGAATTACGGGCTGAGGATATTACAAGCATTGAAACTAGTAGATATCAATTATAATGATCGTTTGTATTTATTTGGTTACTTATATGAAATAAAATGATGATAATGTGGAAAGTCGGTGGCGTTTATATTTATGAAGAATTTGGTAGTTGGAATTATAAAACTTCTTAAGATCTTTTATTTTGTCATAGCAATGGTTCTGATCATTAACAAAAATACATGACAATTCCCATTTTAAGTTGACATTATCTGCTAGATGAATGTTGTTTATTCCTACAAAAAATAATTACCCAATCTTCTTCAAGCAAACTTTCATCACTATGATTTTCTAATTGATTTTCTTGATTTGTTTCATCTCTCCAACGAGCAATAATTACATTACATTGATTTCTTTGGTATTTTTTTCTTTTTCAATGGTTCTATTCTCCATTTTTTTGGTTGGCTAATTGCTCTCCAGCAGGACCTTTTTTCAATAGAAATTCAGGTTATTGATAAGATCAAACCAATTCCAAATTAAATGGTGCGCAAATCAGCTAATCAATAATATAATCAAATTAAATTTTTCAATAAATTGGCAGTTTATTATTATAGAAGTTTAAATTATAACGATTTATTAATTAGCAATTATTATTATGTTCATATTCATGATCTTTTGTTTCTTTTTTTGGCTTGTGATGAAGAAAGCTTGTTTTGTCCAATATGATCTTTCGTTATTATTGTCAACTAAGATGTAATTACCACACTTTTTTGATTTCGTATGTTTTGACCCATGATACTAGTCCATTAGACCATTGGTGTAATGCTTTAACCATATTTAGTATTTTATTAATGGCAATGGACCAGACCAAAACTTGTTGGTCTCACCATTTCAGCATTTCGGACTCAATGTACATTGACTGGTAATTCAAAGCTAGCTCCATCTTCTTCTCTTCATGGGTTTTCCTTGTTTAAATTTAAAACAACATTAGTTTTACTCACAAAGAACAATTGATTCGCAAAGAATAACACGTTTTTATTCAAAACGCACATTGGTTTTTCTCTCCAACTACTAGAGAACAACATGTTCTTCTTTATTTAAATTTAAAACACCCATTAATTTTTCTCTCTAACTCACGGAGAACAACATAATCTTTATTTCAAATATAAACCATGTTTGGTTCTTGCTTAAAAATAATAACCACAACATAATGAATGAGGAGTATTTATGTGTATTTTAGATTTGCACTTACTAAGAATGGCGTTTTTATTTACGCGCTTGTACGTGTTAAAAATTCAACCGATTAAATTTATCTCGTGAATTATCACTAGTTTTTAGTGATATGAAAATTGAGATAAATTTTGAATCACAGTGAGAATGTTGGTAATAAAGGTCACAATAATGTGATGAGAATTCTATGGTCAAGGATGTAGCAAACTCAACAAGTTTGGGTTACTTGAATTCATGAAAAAAAAAATATATATTTCGAAGAAAAAATCAAATTTAGTTGCTGATACTTTAATGATGATTAGAACAAAGAAATTCCAACTGATTAATTGAATTCGTTAGATAACACCAGCCGAGAAGATAACAGAATATGCAAAGAAAAGATTTACACACGAATACTTCAAAAATTTCATTCTGAGAGCAAAACAAAGGCTTTATTATTATAGGAATTGGTGTTTTTATGTAATAAATGCCATAGGATTATATTGAAGTGATGTAGTTATTATATATCATCAATCAATTTCTTTTTAATCAATCAACCAAATATTTTGATCAATTGGAATTTCTATTAACTGAGTTTAAAAACAAGTGCACCCAGTTAGTTTGTATGATGATGGTTCTTGCATTGTAAAAATATGATTATTTCTTTTGTAAAACTTGCTGATAAAATTATTTTTTTAATACAATAATAACATTTTTCTAGTACAAAGGAAAATCATAAAAGGTCAAAATGGCTTGCTTTT